ATATACTGAACTCACTGCCATACCTCACTGGTGTTTGCTCTTTCTTTCCTTTTTCCTCTTTCCTTCCTTCCTTCTTTCTGTCTCTCTTTCTTAATTATGTATACAATGTTCTGCTGGCAAAGTACACCTGCATGCCAGAAGAGGGCACCAGATCTCATTATAGATGGTTATGAGCTACCATGTGGTTGCTGGGAATTGAACTCAGGACCTCTGGAAGAGCAGCCTCTGCTCTTACCCTCTGAGCCAATTCTCCAGCCCCACCTCACTGATTTTCACATAACATTTAAACAAATTCTCAGTTAAAACATTTTCCATAACCTTGGTCTGCCCTCCAGGCTGTATAGGCAGGGTATGCTGTTTAACATCTCTTAGCCTCAGTCTCCTCAGAAGTCAATGAAAATAACATACTAGCATCATGGGACACAAAATGCATATAAAGCACTCAACTTAGTATCAGAAATATATTCTACACTAGTGACAGCTATGGCCCCATCCCTGACAACTCTGTATTTTCATTCTATACATCAAGCTAATTCTCCCCTGTTTTCACCACCTTATTTGTTTCCTTTTGGTCACCTGTTGGATAAAATTCAAGATGGAATTCATAATCCCTAATTCTTTACCAACCTCATCTTTCCTTAGTCTCAAGAGAGCTTACCGTAACAAAGCCAGTCCTTCAATATTTAATGTGTTGCTCTTTTGTTATCTATCCTAACAGAAAATCTCACTTAATCACTTTCTTCTTCCAAGTCATATTTAAGATACTAACTCTGCAAACCTTAGATTAGCTAAAAGTACAATTTTTCCGTTATCCAAGTGTTCCATGAACACTTTATTTGCCTTTGAATTTTTTCTATTATTTTATGTGTTAAGAAAACCTAGGGGGCTGGAGATGGCTTAGAGGTTAAAAGCACCATCTGCTCTTCCAGAGGTCCTGAGTTCAATTCCCAGCAACCACATAATAGCTCACAACCATCTACAATAATCTGGTGCTGGTGCTCTCTTCTGGCATGCAGGTGAACATACAGATACAACACTCAGACACATAAAATCTTTATAAAAAAAAAATAAGAAAAGGAAACCTAGTAGTTTTTACAAGACTAGTTAGGATCCCTGGCATATAAGTAACATGTACTACTTTTAGCTCTTGCCTATAACACACATCATTTTAGAGGCTTAAAATCTCAGTATTATTCATTTTAGCCCTCCTTCACCCCCTCATATAACCCTAAACAGAATTTTCACAAAGTAGGAGGTAGAAAATAAAAAACAGCCTAACATACCATTTGGTTTTTCTAAAAAATGAGTGAATTAAATTAAAAACAAAACAACAATCACAGAATCCAGGGCTAAAACACTTTAATAGCCAACACATTAAAGTAAAAACTTCAATGTTTTATAGTCACAATAATAAACAGCTAGAAAATTCCTTTGATAATACAAACTTCTTTTCTGCTTACATTTTCAGGGAAAAAAAGAATACTAAAAAGAAAAACAAACCCTTAAAACACTGAAAGTAATAAAATTACCACTTAAGGCTTTAAAGATACACTAAAATTTCTCACCCCTACCAACTTGTCAAACAAAATATCCTAAGCATACAGAAATACTCACTACAAGTGACACAGGCTTTTGGAAGAAAGGATTTTAACCTCAACTGGCATTGTCTGTGACTTTAGCTCCCATCCCAAGTCGTCTGAGAAAGGAATCAAAGATTAACCTGAAGGCTCCATCGCAAACTACAATGTCCCAGGTCTTGTTTATACAAACATACAAAATACACACTTAGTAGATAATGTTTGCCTGGCTGGTCCTTTAAACGTTCATTTTCCCTTTATGAAAGGCCATAATTTATTTTCCTCTATGTCGTTCCAAGACACTATGTTTTGAATCTGTAAAAATTACATACTCATTCCTGTTCATGGGGGTTAACAGTCTAATTTTTACTTAGAACTGCTCACTGTTAGTTGCCTTTTAAAGCAATAACAGATGTAGCCTGCTCCTAAGGAGCCAACTGTTCCCTGTCACCTTGCAAAGGGATGAGTATGTGTCCATAAAATGGCACTCACAGGCAGCCAGACAGCATTCCAGTCTATTGCTCAGGTCAGCTTGACTTGATATTCCCAATTTTGGACCACAAAGGTTTCATCTTTATCATATTTACTCACCACCAAAACCTGAATGTACGCCACTTTTACAGCAAGCTTCCCAGAGCTTGCATACATTTGCAAACTTCAAGTTAAGTGTGTAGGACTTAACAAGCCAGCGGAGTCTTATGTAATAACAGCTTAGACAGATTCCTTATATATGCATAAAGCCTCTTCACAACATCTAGGAACATCCACTCGGAAAACAACTTCCTCTCCAGGCAACATAGTGGATGCCAAAAATACAGGGAGTATGTGCTGAAAGATGACTGAAAATTGAGCCCTACCACCTAAGCCTTTTTCCATGGCTCAGAGCTATAGCAAGTAGTTAGAGCAGTCAGGAACTGCTGTAGTTTCCTATGCTGGACGAAAAGAATCTTTGTAACTAGAACCCAAACTACTTTCCTAAAAACATAAACAAATTTCATTAAATAAATAAACGATTCTTTTTCTTTCAGCATTGTAGTCACTTCAAGTCCTTATAACTTCCAAGTACATAAAAAAAAAAATCTTGATAAGAAGCATGTTTCAAATATCCTATCCCAACCCAAGTCATAATATAAATTATTAACTACAAATAGTCAACCATTCTCAAACAGATACTCTATTTTTAGCACCACGTACATCTTACTACTATGCTCAAAGACTCATCAAAGTATTTGACAGCCCTTAATGATGTTTGTAAAAACCTACTTCATCTGGAGGAAGCCTCACACAGCAAGTCACATGTAGGAAAAGGGCCTAAGAGCAAAAGAGAATTCTGACAATAATTATGGTAGGACAACAGAAAGAAGGTAGTTAGCTGGAAATACAGTATCCTGCCATGGTGGCACACATACAAACCTTGAGGTGACTGCTGAGACCATCCCCATTGAATCCAAGCACTGGATTCTTGTCCCAGCTAAGACTGCCATCTTGGACATTAGCTCTTCTCACTTTCATGACACTCGGGTCTACTGCCCATATGATGCCTGCCCGGTACTAGCTAAAGGGAATAGCAGGCGCAATGACCCAGCAGACACCCTCAGGAACTTCCAGGACTCTGTCTGAGCTGTCAGAAACACATGTATGCTCTTGTCCATAAAGACCTGAAGCCTCTTAAGCAAACACAATGGTTCCTCACCCATAGGTGACCTAAGGCTGTCTCTCAAAAACCCACCACTCCACACACATCAAAACAACCACTTCGGCTACCGGCTGACAACTTCTAGAGCCACAACCCTGACGGTGTGATGACAAGCCTACTACCACAGCTATGTTCACCCATATCAAGTTACCAAACAGGCTTTAAGCTTCAAAGGTTTTTCAGAGCATGCCCAGCCTGTGCTGGTGACTGCCATCACTAATCCAAGACCCAATGGGCTGCTAAACCTTTCCAAGTCACACATTCTCCAGAGTTCCTACCACTTGCAACCCTGTGTACCACATCTACCAGCAAATGTGTTTCTTTAGAAGCTGTCCTGTCTTAGGCACCACTAAGCCTAGCCTTTTAATTCTTTTACTCTACAGGGTAATTTCTTTTTTTTTTTTTTTATAGTTTATTGATGTTTTTAAATGGATGAGTGCTGTCTGCATGTACACCTACATGCCAGAAAAGGATATCCGATCCTTTTACAGATGGTGGTGAGCCACCATATGGTTGCTGAGAACTGAACTCTGAAACCTCTGGAAGAACAGCCAGTGCTCTTAACCTCGGAGACATCTCAGCAGCACCTCTAAAAGTTAATTTCTGACAGTGGGATTGCTTATGGTTTCTTGGACACACTCTCCAGATTACAGAAGACTCTGTTATGCTGCCATCACTACACAGATGTTAAGTGACTCCGGCATGCATGTTCAGTAGGTATGTTTGTTATAAGGAGATTGCCACAAAAATTCTGCCTCCTCTTTCAAAAGTTTACAACATATAAACAGAAATGGCCATGGCCAGTCACACTCTCCCTAACAGGTGGAGCAGTCGGAGACACCAGAAACCTTGGGCAGTTCCTCTCGACTGTGAAGACCATGGGTAAAACAGCTTCAGTGCTAAAAACGGAAACTGCTTATGAGTCAACTAAGGATGTTGACAAGGAGGGCTTATTCAAGAAATGTCACAAGAAAAAAAGAATCACCAAACAAAAGTAGCTCACCTGGCTCCTTAGCCACCAAATCTTGAATAGAAGAGAACACTTAAAAAAAAAAAAAAAAAAAAAAAAAAGCAGCAGCAGCAACTAACCTGCCTACAGAAAGACAAGAGTTAGGGTGCGGTGGGAGGGACAGATACAAGTGTGTTATTCTAATCATCCCACAACAGAGACAGGGTCATACCCAGGGACTCATGTAGGAAGCAGCAAAGCTTACTCCTATAAACAACTCCCACACAGTGGCTTACAATTCTTCTGCAACTTTATTCATCAGGACTCTAGCCCTATAAGCAAATGGAACAGTAAAGCTATAAAAGAAAGAATTTTATTGGTTTATTTTTATTTCTGTTTCTCAAACAACAGCAATAGGGAACTTTCAACAAGGATAACAAAGTAAACACGACCTGCAGAAGTTATCAGAAGCAAAGAAGAAAGGAATGGCATAAACTAAGTTGAAAAAGCAAAGGGTATCAAAATTCTGGTAAAGGAAGAATGTTAGAAACACAAAACAGTTCCTCTGTGGCTAGTGAGTGGGTCATTAGATAAAAGTATTTTCTGCCAATCTTGATGACCTGAGTTTGAAGCAGCCAGGGACCCACACAGTAGAAAATGAAAACAGACTCTCAAGTTGTCTTCTGACCTCCATTTGCATACATATACATACACACAAACATATAACAAGTAACTAAAATGAACTTTAAAAACAAAAACAATTTATTCAATTCCATACCTTATCAATGGCTTTTCCAACTCGAGAAACACTGCTATGGATGTCTTTGTGGTCAGAGGCCAACTTCTGGACAGTGTCCTTTATTCTTTTGCAGCACTGTGTCAAAACAAGTGAAAGTGTCCCTGATAATTCAGCATCTTGACCTATTAAAAAAAAAAAAAAAAAGAAATATTAGTCTCACTAAAGCAAACTCCACAAAGACAAGAAAAATCAATAACTTTTTTGAAGTCAATGGTCAGAGTCAGAGTTGTCATTTTTCAACACTAAGAAATAACTGAATTTATTTAAAAAAATTAAACTTTTACTATGAAACAAACTATTTCCCCAATATCAGTACCACACACTGTGAACTATACCAACTAGTATCAATATTCATGTCTAATAGAATCTACTATGGGACAGTAAGAAAGCAGTGAAAATGACAATCAAAACTCCTTGCCCTACAACTTACCTTCTGGTGCAAGACACAATGACATAATAAAGCAAATGAGACAGTATGACAAAAGATCACTGCTTGGTGGGGGGGGGTTGGATAAGAGACAGGTGTGTGGGATAAATCAACCACAAAAAACAAAAATCACAATAAATGGACATGGCAGATTTGAGTAAATGAAATAACTGGCTACCTCTGGAGGAGAGGAAGCATTCCAATAGGCAACAACAAAAGCCCCATTGCAGCTGCATGGTAGATAATGCCTATAACCTTAGCACATAGGTAGGCTAAGGCAGGAGTTCATGGCTTTGGGCCAACCTAGGCAGCCTCACACAGAATACACATACCTAGAATACTGACAGAAGAGTGAACAGGCTAGTGTGTCTAATGGTGACTTCTGGCTAGGGAAATAGCAGGAAACAGGTCCAAGAGACAATGGGCTCCCGCTTTTCGTAGGTTCTCTTTGTGCTGTAAAGACTGACTTTTACTACGAGTAACAGAAAGAATGAGCCACTGCCAGGTTTTAAGCAGAGAAGGTAAACATTTTAGTGTGACCACTCTGATTGATAAGAAGAGTGCAAGAACAGACTCAGGACGGTAAGCTGGGAGCTATGGCAACAACCCAATTGACAGCTGGCCAGGGCTTGATCTGGTACTTTCTGACTGGTCAGAAGGAAGGGAAAGCCTCAGCTGTCTCCGAGGTTTTAAACTGAGCCAGGTACAAAGATGGTATTGCCTACAAGTAAGATGAAACAAAGAAGAGCACATGTCCGAGTGCCAGGAGAGACATAAGCTAAGCTGGTACTTGTTAAGCTGTAGCTGCTGTCCAATGCACACACATGCAGACAGCTGGTATGCAGACCTAGAGGTCAAGGTCAGAGTCAGAACTAGAGACAAGTTGGTACAACTATGGCATACAAATGACTCTTTCGTTGTATTGGGTTTTTGTTTGTTTGTTTGTTTGTTTGTTTGTTTTTTGAGACAGCATTTCTCTCTGTGTAGCCTTGACTATCCTGGACTCACTCTGTAGACCAGGCTAGCCTCGAACTCACAGAGACCCGCCTGGCTCTGCCTCCTAAAGTGCTGGGATCACAGGTGTGTGGCCCCAGGGCAGAGGCAGTGACTGAAGGATCCCTGGTGGTTGCTGGCCAGACAGTGTAACTGAATCACTGAGCTCCAAGCTCAGCCTGAGACCTGAGACATCATGCACTAACATGAAGATGGTTCAATAGCAACGAGCCACCTAGGTGATGATACACAAGGGGCTGGGCCATCTATAAGTACATGACAATGTGCAGACCACAATGAAACTCCTTTACAACATTTCTCAGAACACGTTCCTACAATCCAACAATGCCTGCCTATCTGGAAGCTCAAGAAAGTATTATGGGATAACCTAAAGGAAAGCCCTGTTCAGAGAGGTTCCACTAATGCACTTTCAAATGGATTCAGTGGAAAGCAGCCAAAGGTACAAGCAGGCCTGAAAGTCACTAAAATGACCAGACTGGCTGAGACAAGATCAAACTTCTAGGATCTAATGGGAGTCTTAATGTTCTTTTTGATCTTTCCATGGAAACATAAGCTGCTTCTAGAACCTTCCTGTGAAAGAAATTTAGTTAGATTTACTTCCTAGATATAAAAGGGAATATTAAGACAGTATTTTCACCATAATACTTGTCCATGTTGGTCACCTGTCACCCTGGGTGAAGTACTATGTTCACTGCCTTGCAATACGATGGATGCCCTGGGCCCCACATGCATGCAACGGCACCTACGGAGGCATTGCTAGCATCTATAGTGACAAGTGCATTATAAGGTCATGTATAATATGACTTAAATGAATAAGCATGAGCATCAATTAGTACATTAAACCAAGCAAACAACCATCACACACAAAATGGATGAGTTAAAAATCATTTTTGCAGGAATGTAGCTCAGTGATAGGGCACTCGTCTAGCATACAGAATCTCCAGGATTGGGATGGAGGAGGTCTTAAAGCCCCTTAAATGTAACAGAATAACACCTTTAAAAAGAAGTAATATTTGTATTATTATTGTCACTGTCATTGCAGTAGTAGTTTTTAGAAAAGATCTCACTGCAGAACAGGCTGGCCTCACATGAACTCAGTGACCCTTCTGCCTCAATTTCCCAAGTCCTGCTACCTCACCTGGCTAGCACCTTTTATTTCAGAAATAGATTTTAGGTATATTTTCAGAAATTTAAGTCAGTGTCTCCTCAGAAACCAGACATTCACCAACTAAACTAGACCTAACTGAGCTGACATCATTTTTGTGATGCCTAGCTAAGAGTCCAAGTCTAGCTGTGGCCTTCCATTTCAGGATTTATGTCCGCTAGTTTCACAGAAACTGTTAGAAAAATGTCTGTTTCATCATTATCCTGTGTTTCCTAATCAAGGCTATACACTTTGTTGTAAACACCCATCTACCATTCTCTTGAAGTTAACTGAAGATAGAAAGCATGGTATCTAATCTCTAACATTTAACCATGATGACTGGTATTTAACTGGCATTCAATAACTTGTTTTGTTGGTCGTGGAAGTTTTTTTGTTTTGCTTTTTGAGACAGGGTCTTGTTTTATAGCCCATACTGGCCCCAAACTCACATTCCTCCCGATTCCATCTCCAAGAACTAGGATTATAAAGTGTGCATCCTAACACCTCTATGCTCAATAGTCCTTTAAAGAATGAATACAAAAATAATAATGCTGCATAAATCTCAATTTCAAGTCCAGCATAAGAAACTGTGTGGTATTACCAACATACTCTAACGCTGCCAGCAGGTTCACAAACAGCAGTCTGCAGATCCCCTGGCTTCTTGTTCACTGTCTCCTACATAACAGCACTGTGGCCCACATTTTCCAAATGCCAACATAAGCCCAAAAATAATAGTACAGTCTCCCTTTCCCAGTGAAATCACCAAGAAAACCCACAGAATCTTCACATGCATGAGTGCACGCCCCTTCTTTCCTCCCTCTATCTCCTAGAACTATTAACCTATGTGTGCACAGCAAGTCCTCCTCTCTCAAACACCTGCTACCATCAAGCAGTGGGAATGTATTCCGACATAAGTCACTTTTGAGTTAGTGTCTTCATTTCTAAAATAAAAATATCCCAAGTTGTGTTAAAGAGAGTCACTCATCTCAATTTCTGTTTATCAAAGTACATCCCAGGTTGGTGAAATAGCTCAGTTTGTAAAGTGCTTGTTGCCAAGCCTGATGACTTTGATCCCTGGAATTGACATAAAGGTGGGAAAGAAATGACTCCATAAAGTTGTCCTTACCTCAACACACACACGCACACACACACACACACACATGCACGAAATTAAATTTTCTTTTAAAAAGTACAACCTAATATCTGAACATAGTAAATATCTTAAAAAGATACCTCAGAAAGCTAATTATAAAATTTCTAGTTATAGCCTGGTTTTGATAAACTACCAATGCATTTTTTGTATTTTCTAAGTATTTAGTATTTTAGCATTTACTTGTTCTGTATTTCTCCTTACTCATCACAAGCTAAGAAACCCATGTGGCCAACTGTGGTAATATTCGCTCACATTTTAACCCACCTAAGTTCAATCAAGTCAAAGATAGTAAAATTGACAACTAAATTCCTCCCCAGTGTTTAAACTCTTAAGTTTGTCTGAGGCTTATTTTCCTAGGCAGTGGGGCGAGGCTAACAACTGCACAGAGCACGTACTGCTAACAAAATAAAGCGCTGCTAGAAGCACAGCGCAGAAAGCGGCATCCAAATGCAGGAGGATGAACATTTGCTCACCAGCTAACACAGTTCCAGTTAGGTCCATAAAGGGAGCGAAAAGGCGTTACTGTCCCATAGAGCACAGGCGCCCAGTAGTCATAGGAGACAGAGAACACAAAACCTGAGCGGCAAAAAACATACTGCTAATACCCAAGAAAATTATGACTCAGACTTTCAAAAAGTCTAAAATCTACCGCCTAAGACAAAAATATTTTGGTGAAAATAAACTGTAGATTTTCTAAAAATCACAGACCCTATTTTTATATTTTTATGAATATGTTAGAGGCATACTATAGCTTATACATTTGAACTCTTCTAAGTTATTTGCACTTTAACAAAATGGACAGAGATCTTGATAGAATTAAATATAAAACAAATTAGGAAAAAATTATGATGCAGAGAAAGAAATTACATTTAGAAAACATAAACCTAACTACACCTAAATGAAAACTCACACATAAATTTGCATTCCAGAATTCAGAAAAAAATAGGTTCTAAAAATTAGAACAAAACAAATCAAAAACTGCACAAGTAAGGAGTACTTGTCTAACATACACAAAGTCTTAGGTTCATGGGGTGGGAGATGCATCCACTCATGGTCCTAGCATTGGAATGGAGGTTAGGTAGTGAAGGACAGTCATTAAGTTAAAGGTCATTCTAAACCACCTAGCAAGTTCCAGTCCAGTCTAGAACATGAGACTGTCTACGGATGGATGGATGAACGTTTACAGTGTGAATTCAAACAAGTCAAAAGAATATTGGGTATCATTCAGGAAACTGGAGGGGGATGTTTTTATGGTATCCCAGTCTTTTAGAATATTTTTTCTTTGAAACCTTGTGTTTTTGTTTTTTTGAGACAGGGTCTCACTATGTAACTCTGGCTGTCCTAGAACTCACTATGTAAATAAGGGTGGCCTTGAACTCACCCT